TGATTGTGTTCTTGTTCAACACTATAATAGCGCGAGTTCATAACAAATAGGTTGCTAACATACCTGCCATTCTTGTCCTTATATGAATTCCCATTCAGTCTTTACATATCACTAACACATATTTGCAACGTTAGCTCATGCACACACGAAATAAAAATCATTACTTTCACTGTCCAAATTAGACAAACAAACTCAGTAATAACTCGCGGAATAACACTCCCGATTTTAGAAAAATGAACTCTATTTGCAATAGCACCTTACTATCTTCATCGCCGTAATTCACAGAATATGAGACGCTAACGTTTGTAGCGTCGGTAATACAGAAAACGCATGTAACAAATCCAAAACGTATATACATAACATATAATCCCATGTAGCACATCCAAAATGTATATTTATAGAATATCCATACTGGACATAAAATACATGTCTATAATGAATATACATAGTATATACATAAGATGTACAGGATATTCCCTGTACATTATGGATTTAAAATGTATATACATAAGATATCGAATGCTATGTGGGTAGTCTCTATACAGGGTGACAATTTGAAAACTTACCACCCCCCATATCTTAGTAAATAAACGATATATTTAAAAAAAATCAAAATCCGTTTCGGTAATTCGGAGGGGGAATCAAAATGACATAGTTGGCGACGCACCCCCTCACACCTCCTGCGCCCTAGCCACCCCAACTTTTAAATCTTAAATAGGAACCCCCCATGTGTGATACGTCGTTGGATAGCTCTGAAAAAAATGCTTTCCAACCATACCAAATAGCATTACATTTAGGTTAGTAATTATCGTGCAAATTAAAAAATCAACTAATATGATACATTTTCTAAAGTTGGCCTTTATTTCAATAAATGTTCAAAATGTTTTCCGTTATTGGTAAGACAGTATTACTATGCGATCAAAAATGAGTTGCTGTCGAGTCGCCCTTTGTAATTTTTGTTTACATGGAAAATCGTATTTAACTTGAACTTCCAAAGCCGACTCGACAGCAACTCATTTTTGATCGCCAGTTATAATCTATTCTCAAACTCTTGTCGAACCTTTCCAATGTTGGTTTTGCAATATTTCGACATTCTTGAATTATTCTCTGTCTTAGTTCGTCTATGTTCGCCGGTTGCGTTTTAAATACGACAGATTTCAAATGTATCATATTAGTTAATTTTTTGATTTGCACGATAATTACTAACCTAAATGTAATGCTATTTGGTATGGTTGGAAAGCATTTTTTCAGAGCTTCCCAACGACGTATCACACATGGGGGGTCACTATTTAAGATTTAAAAGTTGGGGTGGCTGGGGCGCAGGGGGTTGGAGGGGGTGCGTCGCCAACTATGTCATTGTGATTCCCCCTCCGAATTACCGAAACGGATTTTGATTTTTTAAAATATCTCGTTTATTTACTAAGATATGGGGGGTGGTAAGTTTTCAAATTGTCACCCTGTATATAAAAATGAACCCCTGTTTCTTCTGGTCACGCAATAACTTTAGAACGACTTTACCGATTTCATTCATCTTTTTTTTTTAAGTTTTCTAATACTGTGTAGAAGGTTCTTACGGCAAGAAAAACTAAGAAAATCGCGCAGAAAATTGGAAAATTCGAGAAAACTTAACGACTATTTAAACATCGCGCGTTTGACGGTGCGGCAGCAATTGTTTTAACAGCTACATGGATCGGCATATATCCGTCAAAAAATTAATTTGTGTGGTGTCAATTCGATCGGAAAGTTTATCCAGATTTCAGTGAGTTTTTTTAGAAATGTCGATGTTATTTCACCGCAATCACGCCTTTTATATTAAGAGTTGTTTTGGTAAGTGTTAATAGACTAAACACGTGGTATATATAACTTTATACAGAAAAACTAGGGAGTTAATTTCTATTTTCAGTTCAATTTTAGTTTTTTCAAGATGCTACTAATTAAACGTACCAACCATTGAACTATATACTCTGTAACTGGAACGGCATCGAGCGCCAAAATCGCGTGCCGCAATGATTTTAGGCAACCAGCATAACGTAGGTATTCTCATCCTTGTCTGGCACGTTGTTTTGTATTGCATATGCAGGACCGATCACACGTATTTGGTTAAAAATACAGATAAGTAAATAAACTGGGAGGTTGGGGCCTTAGAAAGATAAAGATAAATGCTTGTCGATGCTTTTACAAGTGCCAATATCTATTTGTTAATGGAATATCTTAAAATATATACTTAATAATGTGGTAAACTGCGCCATTTCTCACTCACACACTCACATACTTGATTCTTGAATCTTGAAGTTACAAAAGTATAATGTCATTCATCGTGGCTCAACTCATTCCATTTGCTTATTAACGTAAAATAAAGTTATAAACATTGGTTGTGTTCGTTTGTAACGTACCCTTTACATAATATATTAGCAAGGAGGTAGGTACCTAATATATTACAATTGGCGTCGAGGTAAACGTTAATTTAAAAAAGCATTTTTTTAAGAATAAAATGAGTTTAAGAATCATGGTTACTCTAAGAGCAAAAATTCAATTTACTCGCAGTGGTCACCGCATTGCCATTAGATGGAAACGAATTGACACGAATGTCTTATGCTGGTCTTATGGAACGAAGGCCGAAGGAATCGGTACTCGAATCGGTAGTAAATAAAAAAATCAATCGTTAAAGGTATTTTTCGCCCCATTAGTGAGCATTATCAATACTAACGTTAAGTGAAAAATTAAATAATGAGGTACTTTAGTAAAGAAATCTGAGCGGTGCAAATGCCGTCATGCGCAAAAATATTAAATGCGCGCGTCGAGGTTGAAAAATGGTATCAAAACGTACCCATGAAATTGAATATATGAATTTTTATTATAAAAATGATACGTATATGCAACACAATTCATGACCATTCTTGCAAATCTCTTAATAACTTATTTTAGACAAAAATAAGCAAAATGTAAGACGTAGTATAAACCATCCCATAAGCCCACATGAGTGGAACAAGGTAAGGGATACCTACCTCTACCCATCTCTCTCTCACAAAAATTCGCCACGGCCCCTGGCAATGGCTGATTACGGGCGATGCCGTTCCAGTTACAGAGTACTTATATAGTTCAATGGTACCAACATAACACGGTACCAACTTAGGTCGCAGAATTTGAAATCCTACAAGTCAAACATACCGGGTGGTGCACGGTAAGTATGAATATGGATTTAACATGGGAAATTAGTTTTATGCAATCTCCTGCCCTCCTGTACATTTTACAGAAAAAACTGTAGAGTTTAAAGTTGTTCAGAATTAAAAGGTGGATACAAAACTGTTTTTACATGTTTTATTAAGCTTTTGGTATACCCGCAAATTTAAAAATAAATTTCAACATTTCTGTTATTAGTAGCAATAGCCATGACTTTTGTTGTTTTATGAATTGCTATACTAATAACAGAAATGTTGAAATGTATTTTTAAATTTGCGGGTATACCAAAAGCTTAATAAAACATGTAAACTTTGTGTGTCCACATTGCAAGGCTTTTAAGTTTAAAACTGAAGCCCCGGAATTATGTTGCGCCAGTGACCAAGCGAAATTGACGCCATTGGTACCGCCACCAGAGCCACTACATTCTTTAGTTCCCGGAAATGGGCCAGATTCTATACATTTTTTTACTCATCCAGAAATACAACAATTGCTTTCAAATTACGGCATTTGGCGCAGCAAAAAAAAGGTACGTTGCTAGCTCTGAATCGCCAAAAGCAACGTAGAAGTGAGTGCGTTTATTTTTTGTTATTTTGGAGAGAGATGGGGAGATTTTGGGTCAAGTGTGTCAAAATCTCTTTTCCGGCTAAACGTTTGAACCGATTGAAACCAAATTTGGTCTTAGACATCAGAGGCCAGAATCGCGCATGCGCAGGTGGGGCGGGTGGTACCTGCGCTAGGCACAGCGAATTTCTTGAAATAATTGTTATTATTTATCCCAGTTCAAATTGATTAGGTATGCATAGCTAGGAAAGAGGACAACGTCCGTCGGGTCAGCTAGTTATTTACATAAAAGTCAGGAAAATGACACATTACTGGCAAGTAAATATAGAAATGCGAGGCACTTTAGGGCCGAGTACTTTAATTTCCGAGAAAGTTCACTCGCACTGTGTCTAGAAAATAATGGAAATATACTTGATTTGACAACTGAACAGGTACATATTGACGCGTTCAGTGAACAGCCAGGGTGGCCTAACCCATGGTAGAGATATTGCTCTCTCGCTGCACGAGCGAGATGGTATATATGCTGGATATATGTGAAAAGGATATTTCCACCACAAAAGGTGAACGACCTACACAAATTGCACGAGATACCTCTGATGTGGAAAAACTGAACGCCACCAGCACTGTCCTCTCCCTGGCAACACCTATCACCTCTATCAAGGTCTATCTAAGAAGACGGAGGATGTCGACGAAGGGTTACGCCTTCACCCAAGCCATAGTGTGTTGTCGTCGATAGAAGGTACCTCTTCCATAAAGTCGTGTGGTATGGCAATGATTCAGTATGGCCTATCACAGTAAGCTACATATTTAACCTCGGCTGAACTCCCATTACTAATCGACACAGTCATAGCACATATTTGTAATCTGTGGTCATAGCTTTCTGTTATTTTGGAGTTGGGTTATCTCAGTGCATCTGAAAATAACAAGCGAAGTCTAATTTGTAGAATATTTATAGGAATTACTTCTCCAATCATTGCTCAAAGTAACAGATAACGACTGCGGCCGATTAAAGGTTATAAACATTTCTCTTTATAAAATATTCATTTCTACCGTAAGTTCTGGCGTTTACCTAATTTGGTTTTTAACCACACTAGAAATTTGTGCACTCGTCCTCAGTAATTTCCACTAATTATTTTGTAACGATGTTAAATCACACACTTTCGATTGTTAGTAGACGTTTAACAAAGTCCAGGTTTATCTTTGAGTATTGCACCACGAAAGGTTAATGGTGTCGACTGCGTGCTTCGATAATAATATTGTTGTGTGAGACTTTATTTTAATATATTTAACATGTATGAATAGGGCAATTAGTGTGATCGGAGTGAATGGTATCTAATTTCTTGCGTGACAGCCACAGAATTTGAGCCTTCAAAAGCGCGCAGTTTGGAAACACTCTTGGTATGTTCAGAGGCAACTTTTTTATTATTAGGAATTGACTCGATCTAACAATCTGAGGCAAAATTCATAGGTCACATTTGTGTACGTGTACTAATTTCTCACCGTTAGGCAATCGTAGTGCTAAAGACACGATCACGCAATTTCACAATTTCAATGTAGTTACAAGCACAATCATTTTAGTGAACCTCAACAGTTTTCTTCGCAAAGTAAGTCACAATGAATTTCTTCAAAACGTGTCACAGCACTCCAAAAGTCAGAAACTCTAAGAATGGTGCTACGATCTGACCATTATCTGTCATTTTCAGCTCGAGAATGGGCAACAGGTCAAACCAGAAACAGCCAAAGGAAGAAACTGTTGATAAGGCGTAAGACGACAACGGCAAGTTCTGACAATGTAATGATGCTGTTCTACTTCCAGAACTCTTAGAAATGGAGAGCTGCCCACGAGGATATTCGAGGAGAGGGACTCGGTGCTAACGGATCTTATGGGAAATAAACATATCCTAACCATATACCACATCTTCATAGCGCTGCATCTCGGAATCGCCATAAATTCCATCGCGCACGATTATATTTTGAAAAATGAGTAAGTAAAACCGCACGGTGGACATGTGTGATGTTTATACTGCAGAATACGACTGGGGTTTGACATGGTCTACACCGGCTTCAAAGGGTTTCACGTATTTGTCGTTTTTTGGCTATGTGCGTTTGTGCTGAGCTTGTTACCGTACTACTGCGTTCAGTATTGGAATAGAATCAGAATACAATTGAAATCAAACGGTAAGTACCACTGGCCCTTAACATCTAATTGATCCGGTTGTAGCTCTGTTACTGTACACGTGGGATAGAATTTGGTTGCTGAGCTACATCGTCTACATATTCGCTCTGCTGGTTTTTGCAACAACAGTCGCAGTACACTACGAGTTAGGCTTCGCCTCAGTTGTCTGCATGCTATGCGAACCGGTAAGGATGATAATGAAAACGCACGCATTCGTCCGGACCATCGCACCACGCTGCCTGGCGTATACCACCGAGAAGCAGAACAAAAAAGTATTTTTCCCCAAGCTCTCACACTATCTCTACTTTTTATTTGCCCCAACTCTATTGTACAGAGACAACTATCCTAGGTAAGCATTTCCGTCGCTTCGGTCACCATCATATTCGCAATTTTAGATCACAACGCAAAATACGATGGGGCTACGTCCTAAGGATGTTTATGGAGGTGGCCGGCGGTGCCTTCTTATACACTTTCATCATCGACAAGACGTTTCTGACGGATTTCAGAGAGTACGGACTGAAACCGTTCACTCCCGGTGAAATTCTCCTCAAAATCCTTAACAACGCGTTCTACGGAATGCTGACCATGCTACTAATGTGCTACCTCATCCTCCACGCATGGCTAAACGCGTTCGCCGAAATGCTACGGTTTTCGGATAAATTATTTTACAAGGTAAGCCCATTTCGTAATTCGCGCCTAAGTAATTACCTTCAGGATTGGTGGACGTCTATTAATTACGCCAGGTACTATCGGACGTGGAATATGGTGGTGCACGACTGGTTGTACACCTACATCTACAAAGATTTTTACGAAATTGTGATACCGAAGAGGAAAATTCTCGCCAAGCTGTCCGTGTTTTTCATATCGTCACTGTTTCACGATTTCATCGTTTCGGTAGCAGTAGGATACTTCATACCTGTTTTTCTGGTATACTTTTTCTTGTTTGGATCGTGCGTAAGCCTCGTTAAGCCACCAAATACGCTTATCGGAAATGTGTTCTTACTGTACAGTATAGCGCTGGGTGCTAGTATGATGCTATCCACGTATTCTATGGAGTACTTTGCAAGGGTAAACTGCGCAAGAGAAGAACCCAGCCTTAGATATTTCTTTACGCCTAAGATACTTACTTGTTTTAAGTAAAGTAGCTCCTAATTAAACTTTAACGTGAGTCGTTGTAATTCTTCCTGTATTCTCATTCTCCTGAAGTGGTTGTCCTTATTGTAAATACTTTCAGAGTATTGCGCATAGATTAGTTGTACATTTACTAGTTTCCTTCCTTAATCCGCAAGGTTGTTTTGCCGTTCAAACCGGCAGACTACCACTGTAGTCCAGTCAAATGATCATTATTACCTTGCATCAGATGTGTCATTTCTTTTTTTTTTTTTTTAATTGTTAGGCTGAGTATGGATGCCAAAAATCCAAGTTTTCGACATCCAAAGACCTGTGCGAGCAACGCAGCACTCGAAAAAACGTCATTTTTTCTATTATTATCTTTAGGTTTTGGGTAGTTTTCGTTCTGAAGGACAGATTTTATAGTTATTTACATAAAAGTCCGGAAAACACATTACTGGCGAGGAAATATTGAAGTACGATGCCCCTTTGAGGCAGAGTACTTTAATTTCCGAGTCAAGTAATGTCATTTTACTGACGAGTTTTGTATTAAATTTTACGCAAAATCGTATTTTAATATAAAATTTCATATAGAACTGATTAATGCCAATCTGTCAATGATGACAGGAGTCATTATAGACATTTAGCAATGTGACAGGTGCGGCCGGAAAAGTGACAGGTGCGGCCGGTAAAATGACAGGCGGCAGGAAAAGTGACAGGCGGCAGGAAAAGTATACTGGCCTGCCTCCGTCATGGAAACTAACATTTTCCTGACATAAAGTAGGCATGAAAATGAAGGTTTCATGACGATTTTGGGTCAAAGCAATTACAAATTTGTGACAATTCACCGGCTCTGTAAGTCTAATGGCCGTTTGTACCCACAAATTTAAGCGGAGCTCAGCTTAAGCGTAGCTTAATATCCATGGCAACCATTGTCTCAATAATCGTTGCCATGGATTTTAAGCTAAGCTTAAGCTAAGCTCGGCTTAAATTTGTCGGTGCAAACGGCCATAATAGTTTTGGAGAAACAGCGTTTCAAAAGTTCGTAAATTCTTCAGTTTTAATCAAATTTGCCTTTTTTTCGCATAATAACCTCATGAAAATTTTTATAATTTTATTCGTTTGGGTGGTGAGGAGTGTCCATAAATCCGCACAGAAGGAGCTAGAATGTTGATATCCTCTGGATCTCAGCTTCTCCCATGATAAGAAAGTTGTCATCTTCTTCTTCTTCAGCAAGATCCACTACCTGTTGCATGGATGGATGGCGAAATCTGTGAATTTTTTCCTTTTTCCTGACCTTGCTCGACAAGGAACACCCGAAATAAAAGATCTGTGAAAGTAGCAGAAAGCTTACTCACAACACTATGGTTTGAATAAGGCATCATATAAGCATGGATATTTTTCCACTAAAACACAAAAATCAAAATTTAATTTGCTTTCATTATCCGCAATTTTTAGCACTTCTTCAACAACAAGTTTATTACGACTGACGACAATTCATCGACCAAATTCGGTAAGTTTAGTTTCTGCGGGAAAAAAACGCAAATTTTGATAAAACTTGTAAAACTAATAAATTTACCAATATTGAAACGCCGTATCTCGGAAACTATTAGACTTGCGGAGATCGTTAAATTGGCAGAAATTTTGTCTAGTTCAAAAAAGTATACGACAATAATTGCATTAAAGTCGGTCCTTCAGGAGTAAAACTTACAAAAACCAAAAAATGGTAAGAAAAATGAAATATTTTCAAGTGCTGTGTCGCTCGCACAGGTCTTTCAATGTCGAAAACTTGGATTTTTCACATCCATATTCATCTTAAAAATTTAAAACAAAAAATAGAGATAGAGATTATTAAATGAAGCGTTCGTTGCCACGCACGAAGATTTTCGTGAACCAGCGTAAATCACCGAGAATTCACGCAAATCGGAAATAATGAAAATAAAGTCAGTACCTTATCGCCTTTGAATTTTTTAACATAGATAAGCTGGCTGGAGCGGGTTTCAACCGTGTGTCATCAGCGCCTACAGTCTGACGTTCGATGTACTGCACCACCCATCCCCTCCTAAATAGAAATAAAGTAATGTTGATGGGAATGTACAATACTGAAGAATTAGTCAAACATACAGATTTTCCTCAAAATAACCCAGGATTTCATTTAAACACAAATCGCGAGCATTAAAAAAACAATTGCGAGCACAACGGAACAAACCGCAGCAAGTTTAAACAATACGCTGCATTTTCGAGCTTTGCTAAATGCAATCCATCAATTCATGCAATTTATTCACGATACGCGCTTTGGTCAATTCGGTATCACGGCAAAATTCGATTTATAGCTACCTATTTATAGAGCACATAGACATAGACAGATCTCCACGCGGGTCCGTTAACTTGGCCCCCCACTGAGAGATTTGATAGTCGTATTATTTTAGAATGAATGCGCTCGTTATGCGCTCATATGCGCCACCGATAATAACTCTTGCGCCATTACCGTTTTTTAGAAATTCGAGAAAACATTGGGCGGGGGGGGGGGGCAAGTGAACGTAGCCCCCCCCCCAGTACGTATTTTGTCGCTTGTAACTAGGTCACCTGATACATTTGGTTATGCGCTCAATTGCGCCACTTGAATTAAAGCTAGCGCCATTACGGTTAAGCCATAAAAAAATTTTAAAAAGTGGGGGGGGGGACTAACTTAACGTTTTCAAAAGTTACGTTTTTTAACATGTTTTTTCTACTAATCGTACGTTTCATCATGCGCTAAAATTAGCCGTAAACATAAATCTTTGCGCATTATAGTTTTTGAGAACCTTTTTTAGTACCTATAGAACTATAACGCTATTCATTTTAAGAAGGTAGCGGTAGAAAGCATAGGGACAGTTTAACCTTCACTGTGATTGGTTAAATCACGAGTCACTATTACCCTGAAAAATAAAACGAGTGACGAATTCTGTCTGTTAGAAGTTTCAATTACGAACTAAACTGTCGAACTGTCATTAGCTGTCAATTTCAAAGATCCAAGCGTGATATCGTTTGATTTATAATTATATTTTCCAAATTTGGGCAGTTTTATATTTTTCCTGTGTGTGTCGATCTTCAAACACATCTACTACCTTGTTATAATGAATACAGTATATATATGGGTATGCGGTGAAGTTATGTTCTAATAAAATTGTGCAATTTTAACTGGGTTTGCAATAATCGTCAACAACCCATAGGTATTAACTTACTTGGTTTGGAGTTGATGCATTTATTATGCCGCAATGTAGTTCATGTATTAACCATCCACGAGATAGTTTATAATTTTGTACTGCTGTATGTCTGCCCGTCTGCCTGTGCACGATAACTTTGTTTAGAAACGTCCTGTCGCTTTGAAAATTGGTACACATGTTCTTAAGGATATAAGAAAGGTCGCTATTGTTTTTTAGTTACGTAGACTAACGGGCCAAACAGTTACAGCTCAAAAATTTCTCGAACCTTCAAAGAATGGTACCTTTTATAATAAATTCGTGTTACAAAGAACATACAAATGCCCGGTTTTCTGTGTCAGTAAATATTCATTAAACCTCAAAACAATTTTGAAGATGAAAAAATATCTAATTTTTGTGTTTGTTAAGATATGGGGGTGAACTATCGTTACACGTCGGATACTTCTTACTTAAAAATTGCTTCGCAATACCTGTTTTCTTTAACAGATATTACAAATAGTTTTGATGCACAAATAAAAAACGCAATGGAACATATTTTCAACTGCAATCTTTCACCCGAACAGTGGATAAATAATCTCTCCCCGTATCCCAAGGAGGTTTTGGAATTCGAAGATGTTCCGATATCAGTCTTCCAGCTTTCCTTAGTTCAGTAAATGCAAATAAGGCTCTCATCAACCTGATGCTTAATAAGTAATAACCCTGATGAAGCTGAAATTGCTCTTTACAACGAAGCTCTGGATTGTTGAAATATATCGGAGAGTAGCACACCTACCATTCCCTATAAACAGAAGAATTGGGATATAATTTCTACTAAACGAATTTCCAATGAGTTATCTTTTATAAGTGACACTGATAAAGCCCGTCATTTAGCCTCCAAATCAACAGAGTCAAGTCTTTGGCTAAACACCTTACCATCTAGATGCCTAGGAACACTATTTAGATAATAACTCTTTCAGAATCTCAATTGCCCTGAGGATAGGATGTGACATTTGTCGTGAACACCAATGCATCTGCGGTGCACCAGTATCTAGGAATGGGATTCATGGACTTAGTTGTAAGAAAAGCAACGGAAGACACGCAAGACATAATGAATTAAATAACATTATATGCCGAAGTTTGCCATCCGCCAACATTCCTTCTATTTTGGAACCCCCAGGTCTCTGTAGAAGTGATGGTAGACGAGTAGATGGTTCAACTCTTATTCCATGGAGTAAAGGAAAAATCCTGATCTGGGATGCTACAGTACCAGACACTCTTGCACCATCATATATTCACTCCTCTTCCAAAGAAGCTGGTACAATTGCAAAACCAGCTGCTAAAAGAAAACTAAACAAATATACGGACCTTGTCACAGATAATTACTTATTCGTTCCCTTTGCTGTCGAAACCCTTGGACCATGGTGTAATGAAGCAATATCGTTCATTGAAGCTATAGGAGCGTTAATTAAACTTAAAACCTACGACAGTCGTTCAACACTTTTCTTAAAACAGAAAATTAGTATTGAAATTCAAAGAAGGAATGCAAGTTGCATTATGGGAACTTTTAACAATTCTTTCAGGCTAGAAGAAATTTTTTGTTTAAATATTGTTATTGAAATTATTTGTGAAATGCGTTTTAAATTAAATTAGCACAAAATTTTCCAAAAAAAAAATTAATTAATGATATAGTCATTACAAAAATAATTAATGATGTGGAGGTAGGTACTTATATAAAGAAACCCATCCTAAAAGAATTGTTTTATTGATGTTGAGTTCTTGCTTGGTACACGTCATTATGAACGCACCCATTTTGAGCAAAAGAGGAAGGGAAAAGTATTGCTACAATGGATATATATTTATATTCGATGCTCTTAGTAAGCTAGATC